AGGTGATTTGGGTCATAAGGGTTTAGCGCTCATGAATAGAATTAGTGCTCTTTTAAAAGAGACCCCAGAGAGCTCCCTTGCTCCTTCCACCACATGAGAACAGAGCAAGAAGACTGTGTCTCTGAAGCAGCAAGTGAGCCCCTATGAGACACCAAATCTGCTGGCACCTTGATCTTGGACTTCCCAGCTTCCAGAACTAGAAATAAGTGTTTGTTGTCTGAGCCTCCCAGTGTATGGTATTTTTGTTATAGCAGCCCAAATGGACTAAGATAGTATCTCATTGTATTTTTGAGGAAGATGTATTTTTTTTTTTAACACAAGGTTAGAGACAGGGGTGATAACTGCATTTGGAAGCCAGTCACCACACTCCCATGTTCTTCCTGCAAGAATTAGATATGAGGTCATGGATTTGGTGTAGGTAGCAGGCAGGAGGAATTCTCAAACCCATTGACGTTTACCCTGTCGTGGCTAAACAAGGCAGAGCTGGCTCTATTATAGTTAGTTGAGTTCAGGTGTGATAATAACATTTTGTAAATGCTGAATGTTGTGAAGTATCCACAGGGTTACCAATAAAGTAATAAAATCTCATCTAAAAAGTGTTCAGGCATATTCCTGTGGTTTAGTTTGGGAGCACTGGCTTTGAAGATAGGTATGTATGCAGGCATTTGCATGTGATTTTGGCCAAACTTCTTAACCCCTCCCCTTGAGGAGAGAGAGAACCTCAAGCCGACTCCCCACTGAGTGCGGAGCCAGAGGCAGGGCTCGATCTCCCGACCCTGAGATCATGCCCTGAGCCAAAATCAAGAGTCCGACACTTACCTGACTGAGCCACCCAGGCGCCCAGTCTTTCTTTCCTTTTTAAGTTGCAGTATAAAGTGTAACAATCTTAAGTGTACAGCTGATGCATTTTTACATATGCACAAGCCCATGTGCCCACCACTCACATCAAGATATAGAGCATTTCTGGGGTGCCTGGGTGGCTCAATCGGTTAATCGTCTGCCTTCAGCACAAGCCATGATCCCAGGGTCCTGGGATCAAGCCCTGAAGGGAGTCTGCTTCTCCCCCTGCCCCTCCACACCCCACCCCACCCAGCTCGTGCACGTGCTCTCTCTCTCTCTCTCAAAATCTTTAAAAAAAAGATATAGAACATTTTCATTCCCTGCAAAAGTTCCCTTGTACCCCACCCCAGAAGTAAGTGAATGATTTCTATTTATGTAGATGAGTTTTGCCTCTTTTTGAACCTTGCCTTCCTTGCAACTGAAGGAACAGACAGCATGTATTCTTTGTGCTTGACTTGATTAGCTGTGGTGCCTATTTATCCCGGTGACATTCATCCATGTTGTGTGTATTAATTGGTGGTTCTTTCCCACTGCTGTATACTATTCCACAATGTGAGCACACCACTGTTTGTCTCTTCATCCTCCTGCTGATGGAACCTTTGGGTTGTTTCCAGAGTTTGTCTATTGGGAACAAAGTCACTATGGACATTAGCTATGGTGCACGTTTTTAGGTGGACACACAGCTAGGAGTGGTGGCTGGGTGATAGGCTTGGCATGTTTAAGTTTAGTAAGAACTGCCATTTTCTGATTCTTTTAATCTCTCTTAAAGTCACATAGCTTAGAGTATTTAGTGGGCTCTAAGCTATGTGACTTTAAGCCGGTACCTGGAACACAGTGGGGGCTCAATAGTTGCTGGTTTCTGCCCCAAGCAGAGGAAGGGCCAGGCAGTTGGCAAGCAGTGTGGGAAGGTGCCTACCCCAGACCCTTGGGCAGAGAAGCCTTTCCCACACAGCACTCAAGACCCACACCCAGGGGGCGCCTGGGTGGCTCAGTCCTTAGGCGTCTGCCTTTGGCTCCGGTCATGATCTCCCCCGTCCTGGGATCAGAGACGCGCGGGTAGGGCTCCCTGCTCTGCAGGGAGTCTGCTTCTCCCTCTCCCACTTCCCCTGCTTGTGTTTCCTCTCTCGCTGTGTCTCTCTCTGTCAAATAAATAAGTAAAATCTTAAAACAACAACAACAAAAAACCACATCCAGGACCGTCGCGTCCCTGCCCAGCTCTCACCTCCCAGCCTCTTCCCACCTCGATCCTGTTTCCCCAGGCGTCGCCCGTGTGAACTTCGCGTGTCACCCGATATTTATTGAGCACTCACTGTGTACCAGGCCCTGGGTAACCCAGGTACAAACGACATAAAGACCCTCCCCCCTCAAATTACTCGGCGGGAGGAGTGATTGCTTCGCGTAGGAAGCATGGGGACCCAGCCGACCACTGACTCCGAGGCTTGAATTCTAGCCAGATTCTGGATTTCCCCTGGACGTTGCTCGAGACAAACAAGGAAAGAAAATAATCTGATCCTCTGTGCCCCAGTAGGAACCTAGGTCGATCCCGGAGCGCCGGTCCAGCGGGTCCAGGCCCCTGAGCCAAGGCCAAGCGCCCGCCCTCTCTACCCAGGGGCCCGGGTGGGCCGCGAAGCCCCGCCCCCCGCCGTCTGGCCAATGGCCGCGCGGTCCCGCCCCTCCCCGTCGCGCCAGTCCTCTCCGCCGTAGGGGAGGGTTCCGGAGTGTCGGCGGAGGTCGGCTGGTTGCGGGGTGGTGGCTACCCGAGGTAAGTTAGCCGCCCCGGGCGCTCTGTCCGGCCGGCTCCCTTCGGGGAGGTGGCCAGCGGCGTCAAGAGCCGAGTGAGACTCGGGAGTCCGCCGGGGCGCACGGGGGTCCGGGGACGGGACTGGGTGTGCGGAGCTGGGGAAGAGCGGGTCCTAAAGTACACGCAGTTCGCTGCAGCGAGGGCTCCCGGGGGTGGCGTGGGGCGTCTGCTCGAGTTGGAGGGGAGATTGGGCGGGAAGGAGACAGGTGCCGGCTGCTGAGCTCCTCCAGCCCCCCGCAGGGAGAGGGTGACCCCGGGGCGAGGCCTAGCCGCGGTGCGCCAACCTACCGGAGCCGCGACTGCGCCTAGAGTCCAGGGCCGCCGTCCTCCCCGGGGCCTTGACAGTTCTCGGTGGTGCCACCTGCTCAGAACAGCCTCCCTCCCTCCGCGGTCCTGGTCCGGGTCCCACCCAGGAATCGGAGCCAAATTAGTGAGGCCTCGCCCCTCTTGGCCGGGCGGTCATTTCTTTCCGGGACGCGCTCAGAGCCTACGGGGCATTCGGGTAGACAGCTCTCCTCGCAGCGTCGGTCCGCCCTTCTCTGAGACCGGAAGGAGGTGCTAGGAAAACATTGAAAAAAACAAAAAACGACGTTCTCCTATGCATGCTGTGGAGTCTCACAAACTTCTGGAAGGACAGCGATCTGAGAACCGCGACTGCCATAGAGGGAATGCACTCAGCCTGTCTGAACGATTTACAGTCCGTTCAACTGTTTCAGCCTCCCAGGCACACCCTCATCCAGCGACTCCCCTCACCCAAGCCGTGGCCTTGGTCGCTCTGGGGCTGTGAGTCTCACTTGCTGCAGCAGCCCCTATGTTCTCCAAGGTGTTATATGGTGAGCTGCAATGAGGCAGCAAGTCCTGGGTTCAAATCCTGTCAGGGCCACTGGTCGGCTTGTGCAACCTGGCATCATTTCTCCTCTCCTAAATGAAAGAAACCGAGGATGTGGCTGCCTATAATGGACCGTGAATAAATGTGAACAAATACGGGCTTCCTTTCTTTTTGGTTGGAGCATGTTATACTTCCATACTCCCCCAACCCCCCCCTTTTTTAAAGATTTTATTTTTTTGTCACGAGAGAGAGAGCACAATCATTGGGAGCGGCAGGCAGAGGGATAACCCACTGAGCAAGGAGCCAATTTGGGATTCGATCCCAGGACCCTGGGATCATGACCTGAGCTGAAGGCAGACGCTTAACTGACTGAGCCACCCAGGTGTCCCCATACTCCCCAAACTCTTATGCCTAAGGGCTGAGGCTCAGATGCAGGAGAATGTATTACCTGATTCTCTCCTGGTACCTCCCTGGATGCCATGGAAGAGAAGGAGAAAAGGGTCATTTAATCACCTTAGAGTTGTTCTTCACTCATCTCCTGAAGGCTCAGAGGACTCCTCCCCCCATCTCCTTGATCCTCTTGATCTCTGTCATTAACACTTGCCCCAGCAGGAATGTGGCACCTGGTGGCTAGCAAAGCAAGGCATGCAACATGAGGCTATGAGGCTCTGCAGCATTGTCTCCTAGAGTCCCACCCAAGCCAGGCACCTATGTTTTTGCTCTAGCCTGGCCCTCTGTCTTCCAACCACTTCCTTCCCACAAAACCCACTTGGACATGTCATAGCATCTCAAGCTTCACTTGTTCAAAATGGAGCTTTGGAGTCCTCTCTGTGCCACAGCTTCTCCACCAGATTCTCTGGCCTCCCTAAATGTCACCATCCATCCACCTAGCGCCTGAGGAATCATCCTTGATTCTTCTCTCTTCCTCACTTCCCACATCCACGGCACACCAGGAATCCAACCACCTCTCACCACCTCCATGGGCAGCATTCTGGCCATATCCATCCTGCGGCCCCTTCCTTTAGCCTCCTGATTTGTCTCCCTGCTTCCATCCTGGCCCCTCCACAGTCCAGTCCTCACAACTACCAGGGAGGTCTTTAACATAAGTCAAATCCTTTCCCTTCCCTGCTCAGAACCCCCTTGATGGCTTCCCATTTCACTCCAAAAAACCCCCAAAACAAAAAAAGACCCCAAAGTCCTTTCCTGCAACACCCCACATGAGCCACCCCTCCTAACCTCCTTGACCTTGATCTCTGCCCCTCCCCTCAGCTTTCTTAACCTGGACCACCCAGACCTGCTTTCTGTTCTTTTTTTTTTTTTTTTTAAAGATTTTATTTATTTATTTAATTGACAGTGAGAGAGGGAACACAAGCAGGGGGAGTGGGAGAGGGAGAAGCAGGCTTCCCACTGAGTAGGGAGCCCGATGTGGGGCTCGATCCCAAGACCCTGGGATCATGACCTGAGCCGAAGGCAGTCACTTAACCAAATGAGCCACCCGGGCGCCCTGTGCTTTCTGTTCTTCAAACATGCCAAGCTCATTTCCACCTTAGAACTTCTAATTTGCTGTGCCCCGCCCCCCGCCCAAAACGCTGATCTTGTCACAGCCCAGAATGCCTCAGCTCAAATGTCACCGACTCAGAAATACTTCCCTGATCACTCCAGGGGTTCTGTCTCATTACCCTGCTTTATTTATAGCCTTGATTACTATCTGGAATTCCTATTTCTGTATACATTTACTGATTTGTTATCTGTCCCACCCCAATAGAATATAAATTGGATGATGGCAGAGATCTTGTCTTTCTTATTCCCTGCAGCTCTCCCTGAGGGGGGAGGCAGGTGAGAAACTCTCAGACAACCCCATCTGTAATTGCAAGTTGTGGTAAGTGCTACCTAAGCAACTAGTAGCAGTTGCTAGTAACTGAAGCACTTGAACTATTTTATTGTCAAAACAAGCTCTCTAAGCCATTTTCGAGGTGAAGAGAAACCTGTAAAAGACTGGTAATATGCCCCAGATCACACAGTGAGTGGAACCAGCCTCCTACCCTAAGAACATGTATGTGGCAAGCTTTAATGGTGGACTTGCAGTCAGGTTCTTTCGGGCTTGCAGTCATGTTCTGGAAAGAACCTGATCCTGGATCCTGAAGACCTCTGTTCTTTGCTCTTCCACTAACTAGCAAGCCCCTTAATTTCTTCGTACTTCATTTTCTTCAGCTTTTAAATGGGAAGACCCTATTATTATTTTGGGCTTTTTGTTTTTCTAGTACACCAAAGAAGCAGCACTTCTTGGTGGAGCCCTCTTGCTATCTGCGGCTAGGGGTACATATGGCAGGGCGTCAGAACCCTCCCCAACGCTGACCAACCTGCAGGGCAGAAATGGGTCCTAGATCTGAATCTGATTTCTTTTGGTCATCAATTCATTTTTAAGCAAACTTATTGAAGGCCTCTAGGACTCAGGCAGTAATAAAATTGGACGATTAAAGAAAGAAGCAAACATTCCAGAGAGTTGAGAAAGAAAGGAGTCATTGCCTTTTGTCCGACCCCAGTCCCAACTCTGCTGCCCTATGTGGTGTGTTTTCTTCCAGTCTTTTTTTCCCTCTCCGTCAGTCCTTTTATGGGCCAGAGCCCTCTGTCTCTTCAGAACCTGGACAGCGATGACGTTTGCCGAGGATAAGACATACGAGTATATCCGCCACCATTACAGCAATTTTGTCGACCGCGTTCATGTTCCGGAGATCCTGCCTTACCTGTCCTGCCTCACCACAAGTGACCAGGTGAGCCAGGGCATGACAGCCTGCCGCTGACGAGGGACAGGGCCGTGGGGCTCAGGGCTTCGCCCCAAAGCCACGGCCAGCTCCTTGCTTCTCCATCATCTGCATCCTGCCTCTTGACCTTGACGCTTCTCTGGCCCGCAGAACAAAGTGTGGTTCAGGCTGGCCTTTCCCACGCGGCTGAGCTCCCTCTTGCGTCCATACGGTGTAGTGCTAAAAAAAACAGGGTGCTGGCTGTCTGAGATTTCTGGGCTTCAGTCTCCTCACGTGCTCCCACCGGGACCTTCCTTTACTTCATCTCTCTTGTCATTGTTCCTGCTCAGTGTTGACTCCCTTCACCTTGTCATGGGACCCTGTCCTGACAGGGAGCCCAGGGCTCAGTTTTGAGAGTTCGCGGGAGCCAGACCGCCCTAGCCTCTCAGACCTGGTTGTGGCCCCAGGTGAAGGGCTGGCCGCCTCGCAGTTTTAGCTGCTCCCAGTGGCGCAGGCCTGTGGTTGACAGGATCCAGCCCCCCTCCCTTGTATTTGGGGGCTGGTGGGGATGCCTTGTGACTAGTTCTGCAGGAAATGTTTCCTGTGGGTTTTCGTTTCTGCTGTCTGGTTGCCCATCTGTATGTAGGAATTCAGTGCATATAAAACCTCTGTCGCCCTCAGATTCCTTATCAGAATCTCCCAGCGCCCCATCCTCCTAATGCTTAGACTTGGCTTCCTCTCTCTGTCCCTTTTGCCTTCTTTTTGTCATATGTTCCCTGCATACCCTTTCCTCTTCTGCTAATCCAGACCCTTTCTTTTTACTTTCAGGGCTCCCTAACCAAACCCCAGGCTTTGGTGATGGACTAACTGGGATCTGCCTGTAGGATCTTTGTTACCTTATTTCTGCTAAGCCTGTTTCCTCACCAGTAGGAGTAGGGACAAAAGCATTAAATAAGATAATTCTCACAGCATCCTGAGCACAGGGCCTGGCACACAGTAAGAGCCTATTTCCTGATAACTGCCCGTAAACTTGGGCCCAAACACTGGCCTTGTCCTGGGCTCTGACTGAGCTTCAGATGGCTGCCTCGCTCTTGTGGGTACTTGGAGCCTCTCTCTTGCAGCTGTCCCCTCCTGAGTGGGGAAGGGGCCAGGGCCACCTGGCTTGATCAGGGCAGCTGGCTGTGTCTTCCAGGACCGACTGCGGGCCTCTTGCCAGCTCTCTGGGAACCAGGGCACCCTCTGGGAGCTCTTCAGCAGCCTTCGGCGGCGGATCGGCTGGGTGGAATCCCTCATCAAGGCGCTAAGAGCCTGTGAGCTGGTGGATCTCGCTGACGAAGTGGCCTGCATCTACCAGAGCAACCTGCCTGGTGAGCTTCCTGCCCTGGCCCTCCTCATGGAACCCCTGTCAGTTCCCCTGGCCTCCATTCAGCCTGTCCTCTCACCCCTGTACCTCCTGCCTCCCTCTGTCACCCTCCCTCCCACGACTCCCTGGCAATAGATAGACCTGGGTGTAGATCGCAGCTGAGCTTCTTGCTAGCCATGTCCCTTTGGCGAAGTCCAGTCTTCTCCTCTGTAAAATGGAACTAATGGCCAGACATCTGCATTGTAGGACTGTGGTGGATGGTGGATGGCATGTTGAGTGCTTAGCTGGGACTGGACACCTCCCATGTGCTCAGCAAATGGGGCTTCCTCTAATTTTTGTTTGCTTCCCACTTCTTTCTCATTTCCTCCTGTCTCTCCCTCAGTTTACTCTTCTCCTCCCTTCACTGTCTCATCTTTCTCCCTCATGGGTTCCTTCCTTCCTTTCTCTCATCTCTTCCTCTCCCCTGAACTTCCCCTGGAGTCTTCTCAGTCCCCCACCCCAGCTGCCCAGTTACTCCTCAGCTTCCTCTCAATGCTCCCTGCCCGGCCAAGTGCCCAGAGGGGTCTTGTGAGGTCATGTCTGAGTGGTCAAAACAGGAAGAAAACTCAAGCCAGCCCCATTTATGTTTCAGACCAGAGATAACTCCTGAGACCCTGCTCAGATTTACAGCCTTAGAATAGCCTCCTGTTTGCTTTCTTTCTTTTTTCCCTCCTTCCCTCCTTTCCTTCTTTCTGAGGGGTCAGTTAGTGGTGACAGCCACCCACAAGGAGGAGGAGAAAGCCACTGGGTTCCAGAATGCCGGGCGACAGAGAATTGGTGACCGCTGACCCAGTCTGGGTGGTAAGAGGCTTGTGAGGTGCTCCCCCCCACCCCGCCCGCTCCATTCCTTCTATCTCTTCTTGTTCTTGTACTCCCTAGCTCCTCTCTCCTGCCTGCTACTGCCACCCACTCAGTGAATCTTGTCTCTTCTAAGTACATCCTCCATCAGGACAGCTTTGGGAGCCATGGGGGCCTGCTTGTCATTGGCCTGGGGGTCCAGGAACACCCAGGCCTCTCCTGATTCCCCCTTGACATCACTCTCTCTTTGTCCCCCAGGGGTCCAGAGGCCACAGTTAGCTCCTGCTGAGGTTCCACAGCCCTCTAGACCCGCTGTGGCCCCCAGGGCCCCCTACAACGGCTACAGAGAGGAGGAGCCAAGTTTCCCCTTGTCTGTCCAGGACACCCAGCCACCAGAGTCCCTGGAAGAGGTGCGTCCTCACAATCTACTTTGGGCTCCCTGCTTTTGTGTTCCTGTCTGCCCAGCTTCTAGAAGCTCTCTTCTGTCCCCACCATGAATCATGCCTAATCTCTGCTCAGAACCTCAGGGCTCCCTCAATGGAAGGAGGCTCCAAACCAGCTTTCAGACTGCTGACCAGGGCTTCATCCTGTGGTGGCCCTCAACCCTCTTATCAGCCAGCTGTGAGGTCACAGTTTTGTGGTCTTTGCAGTGGTTCATGTGATGAGATGGTGAACTAGATCAAGCGACCAGGGAATGACCGGTGGAGGGATACTGGGGAAGCAGGAGGTAATGGGGTGGTTGGAGTAATTATTGCCAGTTTGGAGGGGAAAATGACTGATTCTGTTGGGATGTGATGAGTGGGCAGTGGGGTCTCCAGGAGATGCCAAACCATGGACTTGAAGCCCAAGAAAGGGGTCTGTGCAGTAGCCGCAGACAGGGGGACCTTTTATAGGGCAAGGCAGGTGAATAGAGACTCCCATGAGATGGTGTGTGTTTCTGTGAGGTGGGTTTCTATAGACAGAGGGTCTGGCAATGACCAAAGCCAGGGCAAGGGGCTTCCTTGGTTTCTGTACTCCGTTGCACGGGCTGAGACCTGTAGGAGATGCCCACTCCTGGGAGAAGCAACTGCCTCATTTATATTTTCCCTCTTGCAGAGTTTAAAGAAAGTCCCACAGATGCCCCATTTTGGGGCTGTCCTGAGGAGGCCATCCAGCCCCCTGGAGCCCTCCTCTGACATGGCAGCCTTCAGCCCTCTGACCTCCAGTGGACATCGAGAGCAGGACACAGAACTGGGCAGCGCCCACACGGCAGGTATGTGTGGAATCTGGAGTTCTAGGGCCTCTCCAACCTCCCAGTGAGGGTGAAGAGTAGGGCTGCCCCTCTGGCTTCCTTGGACAGGAGGCAAGGGTGGGAATAAAAGGAGTTTACCTCAGGGAGCAACCCAATTCCTTAGAGGGTGTATCTGTATTTTCTTTTTCTTTTCTTTTTTTTTAAGATTTTATTTATTTATTTGAGAGAGAGAATGAGAGAGAGAGAGCACGAGAGGGAAGAGGGTCAGAGGGAGAAGCAGACTCCCTGCCGAGCAGGGAGCCCGATGCGGGACTCGATCCCGGGACTCCAGGATCATGACCTGAGCCGAAGGCAGTCGCCCAACCAACTGAGCCACCCAGGCGCCCCTGTATCCATATTTTCTATGTAACAAATTATTCCAACATTTTGTAGCTTAAAATATGACTCTTTAGCTCATGATTCTGTGGGTTAGCAATTTGGGCTGGTTCAGGGTAGTTCTTCAGATCTTGGCTGAATTCCCTCTGTGTACATGCTGGTGCCCACACACGTACGTTCTGCGTAAGCCCGTTGGCCGGGGCACCTTGGTTCTCTTCAGCGAGTCCTCCATCCTTCACCAGACAAGTCTGTTTCATGGCTGCTGAGCAGAATTCTGAGAGGGCAGGCTCCTGGGGCAAAGGCTCAAAGCTGGCAGCATTCCTCCTGCCTCATTCTGGGCCAGAGCAAGTCACAAGGCCAGTGCAGAGTCAAGGAGTCAGAGAACAGACTCCATCCCTAGACGACAGGACTGATAGTTACATTGCAGAGCGTGTGGATACAGGTAGGGGAAGAGGATTAGGGCTCCTTCTGGACTCTCCCAAGAGGACTGACTCTGTAGGGGTTTTCCAGGACCTGGAGGACAGTGCAGAATGCCTGGGCCACCTACAGGCAGGGGAGCCCTTAGGCATGCCCTACTCCAAATGGGGCTCTAGCTCCCAGTGAATCACTAAAACTTCTCAGCCCCCAGAGGAAATATGATTTTCATCAGGTAAGAGCCTGGACCTCCACACCAGATCTCAGCACTCCCCCTCAGGAATATAGAGCTGTCCACTCTGACCTTTCAGGCTGGCATTTCTCTGCATTGTCATTTCCCAAACTGTGTTCCATGGAACACTATGGCCTGCCCCACTTTGGGTGCCCCGGGGACAGCCACAAGGCACATGAACAGTTAAAGGCTCAGAGAAGCCATTTTAGTGCCATACACTCCTGTTGCCCCAGAACTCTTCCCCCAGCACCCATTTATACTTTGCAATGTCGGCTTGCCGTAGAACACCTTTTAGGAAACGCTGCTATGGACCAGGGAGGCAAAGGGCACTTAGATTTCAGTATATGCACGGACACAGGTCCCACAAGATTCTGTGGTGTGTTAGATTTTGGGGGGGCGGGGTGGTACATCAGAATGATTCCTGGCCTTTGTCAGCGTAGGGCCTGGCACGTGTGTTCTCAGAGTTCCATGGGGAAAGCCTTTATGGACTCTCACCACCTGCTCCCTCCTGCTTGCCCCAGTTCAAGCCCTCGTGTCAGGGATGGCTTTGTCCCTGCACCCCTTTCCCCCTGAGTCTGTAGGCCTCCCAGGAGACTTGTGCACACTGGGGGCTGCTTGGGCCTCTGGTGCCCTCTGACTGCTGTGAGCTCTTCTGCCTGGTCCAGAATCGCTCCTGCTGGACTGGGGGGGGGTGCGGGGAGGCGGCAGAGGGAGGAGCATCCAGAATTTCACCAAGCTAAGGAGCCGGCACAGGAGGAAAGGGGGGTGTCCCAGGCAGGAGAAGAAAGAGCAGAGGATAATGAATGATCTTCAAGCTCCTAGATGCTGTTAGGGGGAGGGACCATTTTACTCTTACGAGAGGAAAGACTCGGCTTTAGGTCAAGGACTAAAGGGTAGGTAGGACCGAGGATGTGCCTGCGGCTGTTGGACCCTCGGGCCTGGGTGCAATGACCAAAGGGACTGTGGACACTCCCCGGGTAGGAATTTGGGAGGCCTGGATGCAGTAGGGATTTGAGCTGGGGTACGGAGGCCCTTCTTCAGCCGTCTGATCCCAGGGTGACTGTGATTTTAGGGTGACGGTCCTGTGGTGTGTGTTTCCCTTTTTATTTTGCTACCTGCAGGCGTGGCCTCCAGCCTCACCTTGCCCTGTGGGCCTGTGTCTCCGACTGCCTCCTTCCAGCCCTTGACCCGTTCCATCCCCAGGGCAAGCCGTTGGCCTGCACCCTCCGTCTCCGCTCCACCTCCTGGCACCTCCTCCTTTTCCACGGGCTCGGCCTGTGCAGGGGGTGCTGGCGACCACGGTGAGCCTGGTGTCTGCCCCAGTGGGGCAGGGGTGTCTACCAGCTCGTTGACCACCAGCACAGCACCCTCCAGGGTGCCTGCCAACTCAGCATTTGACAGAAAAGTGCCTTCCAAGTTGCCTGCCTGCTCGAAACCCTCAGGGGCAGTGGCCACGAATGTGCTCACGAGTCGGCCACCGTCCAAACTGCCTATCAACTCAGTACATGCTGGCACAGCACCACCCAGAGTCCTTGCGAGCCTGGTGCCTAAGCACGGGATGTCCACAAGCACGGTGCCCAGCAAGGTGCCTGCCAGCACAGTGCCCACCATCAGGAGCAACATACCCTCAGGGGTGAGTCTTTGCCCCTCCTAGCAGTCATCCAGGCTTTTGCCCCCTAGCCCTGTCCTTGGACCCTTTCCAGTCCCCATTCTGTCTCTAGCCTGGGCTGTCCCAGGGCTTCTGCTCAAGGGTGTAGGGATAGCTGAGATCTGGCCTCATCCAGACCCCACACCACGAGCTTTAGAGTAATAATAATCATCCGAGCTCTTAAGTGCGGATGCCTCAGGAGGGTTGGGTGGGATGGCCACCCCCACTGTTCATGTGCCTCGGCCCATTTAGAGCTCGCAGCTCCCTGTTAAGCTCAGCAGTGCCGGGTTGCAGATGGAACGGTGAGGGGTAGAGCAGGGTGGCCTGCCTGCCTCAGCGCCTTGCTCTTTACCACCGGGATATCCAGTCTGGCCCTCCGTGACCCGGGCTTTACAGACAGCAGTCTTAGGTAGCATTAACCACTGACGCAGCAGCCCCCCCCCTCCTCGGCTGCCCCCTCTGGGCCTGCACATCCAGCCCAGCTACTGCTGTCTGCCTGGAGGATCCAAGTCCAGGGGACCCTTTAGGCACATGGCCAGGCCTCTGACCCTGTAGCTCCTCCATGGCCCTCGGCCCAGGCAGAATGTCAAAATAGGATGGGGCCACGACCACCAAGGGCTCCAGGGGGGTGGGAGTGAGCTCACAGGCAGGCCAGTGAGCAGTGAGAGGGGTGCCTGGGAGGAAGTCACTACTGATACTGTGGCAGAGCCTTGGTCCCCTCCACCCCCACTGCCCTCCTGTACCATCAATGGGTTGAGTCTCCCAAGGGGGGGCGGCTTCCTCCCCGGACTATGGGCTGGGAATTGGAGGGTTGGGTTGCTAGTTCATGCCCTGGCCGGGAATGGGGCCACCCAACTTGGCCATCTCCCTGCCGTCCCCAGTCCCTTCCAGCCCCTCCTTTCTCTCCCAGGAGACTGCAGCGGCTCCAGTACCCGCCCGCGTCTCCACCAGAGACAGCTTGCCCGGGCTAGACCCCAGCTCCGCTGGCTGGGGCTCTGAGTTGGAGCTGAGCAAGCCAGGCAGGCTGGCCTCCCGGGTGGACAGTGAGCCATTCTCGGGCTGCTCTGCGGACCTGGCCCTCAGCTACAGCGAGTCCTTGGATGCGGGGCCTGACAATGCCCCAGAGGAGAACGAGTACCAGTCGGTGGATTCCATTCGGATCCAAGTGGCCCAGGACCCCAGCGTCGAGCTGCTGGAGGGTAATCCTGGGCCGCGTGCCACCCCGCAGCCTCTGGTGGAGGAGGAGTCTGTCCAGGCCAGCCTCTGGGCTCCATGGCTCGGGGCAGCTGCCGCTGGGGTGCTCCTGGCCATGATCCTGACCATGGTATACAGGCGCCGCCTACTCCAGTGAAGCCCTGGGCCCTCTCTGCCATGGATCTGCTCCCTTCCCCATGGGACATCCAGCCCAAGCATGGACTGTGCTGTCTTCCTGCCTTGTCCCTTTTGTGGGGCTGGTGGAGCCTGGGTCAGAGGGGAGCCAGGGGGCCTCAGGCCAGATTTCTGTCCCAGCTCATGCCCTCCCCATGTGCTCTAGACCTCGCCCACCCTGCAATCTTTGTTGTCACCTTTATTCTCTGGAGGAGGTGAGGTACCCCTATCCGGGCTGTATACCCATTTGTCCAAGTCCACAGATCAGGAGGTGCCACTGGATTGTGCAGGGGGTTATCAGTGCCCCCATCCTGCCCTGGTGCCTGGTGTGCAGCAGGGTGGGGGACCCCACAGGACCTTGCTCCAGACCCCAAAAGCCCAGCCAGTGCTCCAGGAGCATCAGGGTAGTCCATCTCCAGGGACATGGCTGCTTGAGGTCCATCAAGAAGTAGAGGAGGTCCTTGGGGCGCCTGGGTGGCTCAGTCGTTAAGCGTCTGCCTTCGGCTCGGGTCGTGATCCCAGGGTCCTGGGATCGAGCCCCGCATCGGGCTCCCTGCTCTGCGGGAAGCCTGCTTCTCTCTCTCCCACTCCCCCTGCTTGTGTTCCCTCTCTCGCTGTGTCTCTCTCTGTCAAATAAATAAATAAAATCTTTAAAAAAAAAAAAAAGTAGAGGAGGTCCAGGCATTCTCCTGGCCCCTGGGGAACGTAAGGCAGCTGCTAGGCTAAGTACTGCCTCTGAAGCCCCTCTCCAGCCTCCTCACCCCCCCTTCCTTTTCCTTCCCTTCTGGTCTCCATGCTCTCTAGCTGGGGGGGAGGGGGAGAGGGATTTGGGGAGAAGAGGCCTGCCGGGCTGAGCTCAGACCAAGGTTTGGATTTCAGCTCCACCCCTTCCTGGGCTGTGTGGCCTTGGCAGATGATCAGACTTCTTGGGTCTTGCTTCCCCACATGGACAGTGAATATCATGGCTCATCTCCACTGGGTTCTTCTGAGATCAAAGCACACAAGTGTTTGTCAAGTGCCTGACCCAGCGTTGGTGAAGACTGATAGCTTCCCCTACCTCTCCCCTGCGCCGCCTGGTAGACATGAGGGCATTAAGAGGCAGAGTGCCCAGTGGGTAAGGGTGTTACTCTGCAGTGTGGGGTGGCCTAGGCCTGCACCCCACTCTTAACTTTCACTCACTCTGTGCTCTTGATTAACCTCTCTGTGCCTCCGTTTCCTCAGCTGTAAAATGGGGGTGAATAGTAAAACTTCCTATGTATAAAAACATAGATCTCCTAGTGTTGTGAGGATTAAATGAGCTTATCTACATCAGCCCTAGAATGGTTCCTGGCATTTATTAAGCGTTGGATACATGTTGTTACAAACGTGGAGGGGCTGGAGCACTTGGCTACAGCTTACCAGGCAGATTCAGACCCTACTGCCTACCCCTCCCCCCCTTCTTCATCCTGTGCATTGAGTCTTTGGGGAGTGGGAATGGAGGAATGTCTACTGGGGCGGCTGTGCAGGCTACGGGCTGGGGTGCCCCTCAGCAGCCAGATGGATTGGGGAATATCTTCGTGGGTTTTTTTCGGGCAGCCATTTCTGGAGCCACTTCCATTCCTGTGCTCTGCAAGAGACAGAGACTAAGCTACCTGGGAAGGTACCCCCCAAACTGTCAGCTGGTAGGTTCTCTACCCTGCTTTGGCCACTTCGGCCTTGCTTTGTACTGCCCTAGGGGGCTTGAATGACCTGTCCCTTTCCCCCTAAACTTCTTTTCAACCCTCGCTCCGATCCCAGCAGCCTGTACCCTGAAACTAGGAGAGGTCCCTGCCCAAGCTATCTGTACCACCCCCCATCACCCTTGCTCTTAGCCAGCCCTCTGCACTCTCCGTCACTCTCAGATACCCGGGTCAGTAAACAATTCATGCACCGGTACTAGTTTTATTTTTTTTTAATTTTATTTATTTATTTGAGAGAGAGAGAGAGAAACAGTATGAGAGGGGAGAAGGTCAGAGGGAGAAGCAGGCTCCCCGCTGAGCCGGGAGCCTGATGTGGGACTCGATCCCAGGACTCCAGGATCATGACCTGAGCCGAAGGCAGACGCTTAACCAACTGAGCCACCCAGGCGCCCCCGGTACTAGTTTTAATGTGTGACTCTCCCAGGGTAGCTTTGGAAAAGAGTATCTCAAGAAAGCAATGTGTAGTCCCAAAGGATGCTACTTTGCTGGTGGAATTTCAAGCACAGTGACCAGCCGTGTGGGAGACACCTTTAGCTAAGGTGTGTAGGAATCATTCAGGGATCTACCAGGCACTTTTCTTTCTTTCTTTCTTTTTTAAGATTTTATTTATTTATTTGACAGAGAGAGGGAACACAAGCAGGGGGAGTGGGAGAGGGAGAAGCGGGCCCCCCGCGGAGCAGGGAGTCCGATGCGGGGCTTGATCCCAGGACCCTGGGATCATGAGCTGAGCAGAAGGCAGACGCTTAACAACTGAGACACCCAGGCGCCCCTACCAGGCACTTTTCACCTGATGCTGCCCAGAAGCCCTAATCTGGCCTATGTGGAGCAGCATCCCTATTTTGGTGGTTGTCAACTGAAGGCCTCTAAAATGCCAACTTCAAGCAGAGGAGGGAATTGGCCAGTGTAATGAGGCCTGTGGCCAGGAGATGGCTTGGGATAGTCGATGTGTCTGATCTCAGGAATCCTGGGTTTGGAGTGTGGCTTTCAACTGCAGGAGGGAGACGCAGACAGGTTACCCTCATCACCATGGCCTGGACCATGTGGAGTCCGGAACCCTAGGAAGGGGGAGAGGACGTCTGCCCCCAGTGTGGGGCCCAGCCACCTATCCCTGGAGGCTTAGGAGAGCACACCTCAATTCAGGGTAAAGGCTGGGGTGGGGCCAGAGGCCCAGTGCCATCCTAACTGGTTGGGGCAGACTCACCAGCAGTCAAAGTATGCCTATCAGTCCCCCTCCACCTTCTCTCTCCTGCTGAAACTTTTTCCTCAAAACCCAAGAGCCACCACGGCTTCCCTCCCTCTGGGAAACACAGACCTTGTTTGATGACCTACCAAAGCCAGACCAGTGCTGTACCCTCACCTTATTTTACTTGTTGGATACACTCAGATTTCATCAGACTTAGGGAGAATTTCTGGTTGGAGATCAAGAAGACGCCCCTTATCCTGCCAGGCTTTGGATTAGTCATACCTTCTTTCAAGAAACATTATTATGGAAAACTTTCAAATATAAAAATAGAATATAAGAAAATATATATAAGAAATATATATAAGAGAAAATAGATGGGGCGCCTGGCTGCCTCAGTCATTAAGCATCTGCCTTCAGCTCAGGTCATGATCCCAGGGTCCTGGGATTGAGCCCAGCATCGGGCTCCCTGCTCAGCGGGGAGCCTGCTTCTCCCTCTCCCACTCCCCCAGCTTGTGTTCCCTCTCTTGCTGTGTCTCTCTCTGTCAAATTAAAAAAAAAAACTTAAAAAAAAAAGAAAATAGAATGAGAATCCCCCACCCCGTGCCCATCACCCAGCTTCAGTAATTATGGACTCATGGCCAGTCTTGTTCATCCCTGCCCAATTCCCCTCTTTCTGAGGGGTTCAGAAAGCCAAGGGGCACACTTGGCTGGGAGAATTTTTTTTTTATAAAGGCCCTCTGTTTCCTCCCAAGGCAGCATTAGCATTCCCTTCTTTGTTGCTTGGCCTCTGTGTGTGAAATCCCATTTGAACCAGTTCAAAGAGTGAGCCGCATTGGGTCCCTATCTTAGTAAGAGGAGACCAAAGGGGGATGCCTCAACTGACAAGCTCCTTGGAGGGCCCTGGCCACTGCTCCTGTCCCAGAGAGGCGACATTTGGGTGTGTCCAGTGGCAGCTCGCCTGTTGCATTGGGGGGCTCCCCCAGGCTCTGACAGAGCCCTTCCAGCAGGCAGAAATGACCTATCTGGACCAGATTCAAATTCCACAGCCTGTCTCTTGCCCTTCTAGGCATCTCCTAGGAATGGAGTCATTTAGGCCTTGAGGTCACTTGCTTTCCAGCTCCACCCTGAATTGCCCCTGCCTCCCCCCAGGGAAAGCAATGTTGGGCATTCCTGGTCTAATCTGTGCTAGAAGTGACTATCCATGGATGAAAACCACATGTTCCCCCTCTGCTCACTTTTCTGCTTTCTTCCCTGTAGCCTAGGGCCATGAGGCTTGCACCGTGTTGGGCGTGGTCCCCCAGCATTCTGCACTCCTGCAGCAGCTGGTGACAATGACAGTAATACACAGGGCTCCTGCTTACCCCATACCTTGCTGTGTGCCAGGCACTGGACTAAGTGCTTTACACAGATCAACTCGCTCAGTCCTCAACCCTATGCAAGGGGCACCATTCTGACCCAATGTATAGCTAGTCTGCAAGACCCGAGGGAGCAAGGACCAGAGGAGACAATGCAAGTGAAAGCCCTGACCCCTGAGCCCCAGACCTAGATGTTTTCTATGCTTGCTCGTGACCCACAGCTGATTGCACGTCTGGAGCGGGGACCCCATTTAAAATGAGATTTCACACCAACACATTCCTGCCCCATGTGCCAAGATCTGCCTCATGTTGTTATAGTGTAATGTGCAATATTATAACTAATGGTCTCAGGGATGTTGTAACAATAGGACTATCATCATCATCATCATCATCGTGTGTGTGTGTGTGTGTGTGTGTGCATGCAAATGGCCTGAGGCTGTGTGAGGCAAGGCAAGGGGCACAAACTAAAACGCCAGGCCTCCTGAGGCCAGATTGGTATAGTAAACATTATTTATTAAAGGATTCTCCATGGGGCACCTGGCTGGCTCAGTCAGTGGAGTGTGCAACTCTTGAACTCAGGGTTGTGGGTTTGAGCCCCATGTTGGGTGTAGCGATTACTTAAAAAAATAGGGGCGCCTGCATGGCTCAGATGGTTGAGCGTCTGCCTTTGGCTCGGGTCATGGTCCCGGGGTCCTGGGATCGAGTCCCGCGTCGGGCTCCCTGCTCCTTGGGAGCCTGCTTCTCCCTCTGCCTCTCTCTCTCTCTCTCTGTCTTTCATGAATAAATAAATAAAATCTTTAAAAAAAATTATAAATAAATAAATAAATAAAATAAAGGACTCTCCAGTGCCAGGTCTAAGGCCTAAAATGAGTAAGACCCCTGCTTACCCTCCAGTGGTTGGGAATGGCTCACAAAATGTGGTGCAGACAAATAGGCTTTCATATCATACTTTCATGTCTTTACATAATATTTTGCACCTACTGTGTGCAGAGTATTGGGAAAGGCATCAGAGACCAAATAACAAAGCAAAGACCTCACTCCAAGGGCCCCCTTCCACTACCCATTGTTTCAGTACAATAGTGAGTGGTCTAAAGGAGTGTTCTTGCAGCAAGGGTGGGGCTAGCAAGGAGCCACAAGTGTGGTTTTGATCAGTTATATACTATTAATAATTACTATAATTAAATCCAGGGAAACAGTAACACTTAGAGCCTGTAGGGAATAAGAAGAATGTGAAGGGTAAACTGACAAACACCCAAGCAGAAAGGCTACAATGAAAGGGTCTGACAAGATCAAGTGTTGATGAAAACAGAGCAGCTGAAACTTTCATAGACATAGGGGGAATAGAAGCTGGTAAAACTGTTTGCAAACTGGCAGTATCCTACTGACATTGACCATGTGCATAACTTAGGATGTAGCAATTCTGCTCCTGGGTATGAACACCACAGCAACAAGAACTTATGTTTACTGAGATGCGTGCCAGAACATTTCTCTCGTCTTTCTTTTCTTCTTTTTTAGTGCAAGAATGTTTCTTTCTTTCTTTTTTTTTTTTAAAGATTTTTATTTATTTATTTGAGAGAGAGAGAGTGAGAGCACAAGCAGGGGAGCTGCAGAGGGAGAGGGAGAAGGAGAAGCAGACTCCCCATGGAGCAGGGACCCCCCCTGAAGCAGGGCTGGATCCCAGCACCCTGGGATCATGACCTGAACTGAAGGCAGAGGCTTAACGGACTGAGCCACCCTGGCGCCCTGCAAGAATGTTTCTAACTGCGCTGTTGTTAATAGCCCCAAACTTGTATGAGCCCAAATGGCTCTCCAGGGTAGAATGGGTATAGAAGCTGTGGTAAAGTCACAGAGTAGAATACTGGGATATGGCAATGAGTACAAATGAACATATTGCTCTACACAATGCAAATAAATCTCACAGACTTGATGTTGAGCAAAAGAAGTCAGTATACACACAAAATGCCCTTACTGTAGGATTCTATTCCCATGAAAAGTACAGAAATAAGCAAAAATGATCCATGGCATTGAGTGTCAGACTGGTCACCTTTGGGAGGGATAGAG